CCCCGGGGCCGCCTGCCGCTTCCGTGGCAGCCGCGGTGAGGCGGCGGCCGGCAGTGGGGGTCGAGTTTTGCTCTGGCAGAAGCTCTGGAGGCTGCGTGCCGCGAAGGAGTGCCAGGGCGGGGGAATGTCAGGCGTCGAGGCCTCCCTGGCACGGTAGCAGGCGGCCATGGTACAGTGACTGCTCATGGCTGCACGGGGACGAAGGCGAGCAGCTGCTTGGTGGCTGTGAACTGTGGCAGCCCTGTCTGGATTGGGAGAGACTCACAGTGCAGGTGTTGGGTATCTCTATAACCACTAAAATGCTCGGTCACATGAGTGGCATTATAAGAATAAATTGCAGTATCTGCAGCACAGGACAGCTTTATTCTCTGTGTCTGCGCAGTGCCTGATAGCTGGAGTGAGGCCTTAAAATGCACCAATATAAATGAATAAACAGCGTAGCATATGTAACTAGAGCTTATTCTCTCAGAACTGGTGATTTTCAACCTCTGTCAAAGCTAACGACACTTTTACAGGCTTTAGTTTTACAGGCTCTTACATGGGAGCCTATCTCTGCTCACGTGTGCCCTTGCCAGGGCTGAGTGCTGAGTCATTTTGATGATCCTGCTGGTCACCCGCTGAAACCCTTGGCTTTGCTAGATGCCCGTGCCATCAGTGTAGATAAATGCCTGGAACATTTTGCATGCTGGAAAAAGGAAGAACATAAAAGATTCCTGGCAGCATATTCATCTATATAATTTCTCACAAGGTAAACGTACTGATTTTGCAAGTATGAATAGAATGACTGCGGCGGTGTGCCAGTCATACAGTATTACATCTGTATGAACATATGAAGCAAACCAGGATTTCGGTTCTGCTTCTGAAATTTAGCCTAAGAGTGTCTTCTGTGAGTCAAAACTTACCTGGAAGTTACTCTTCTATCCAATATGACAGAATGAAAGCCAGTTGCTTTATTCTGACAAAACATACATCAAAAATATTTTGCAACATTTGATGACAAGTGGAGATGTGGTTTGTAGTACCTGAGGATGGTAGCTTTGCGTTTTACACGTGCTGTACCGTTCTTGGCCTTTCTGTTCATACCACCACCATACCATACAGCCCAGAGTGCTGCACCCTGCCCATGAGGAAGGAAGTCCTGGCGTGTACGGACCAGGACTCATGTGCTGCACAGGGTCATGAGTATGATCACTTCCATCCATAGCCTGAACCGCAAGCTCTCACTAGACTCCTCTCATCATAGCACAGGGAGGGCAGGGGACTTTGGGGGCTGCAGCAATCAACAAAGCTTTTCCTAGGCTTCCTCTTTTTTTTTACCCCTCATTTCTTCTCACTAAGGCAGATTGTATCTTAAATCTACCTACACTCTCAGTATGACATAATGCCAACAAACCTTGCAATAGCAAGGAACGTGGATGTCTCTGCCCTGCTGCCTCCTTCTTGGATCTCGCAGACCCTCACTGGTGACTGGATCTTCCTCTCTCAGTGACATGCTGTACCAAGAACAGCTTGATTGCGAGGCTGCAGCCCCAGAGTCAAAAGGTGACACCCATAAATATAGATTGCGAGGCTGCAGCCCCAGAGCCAAAAGGTGACATGCATAAATACAGATTTAGGAGTGTGTGAGGAGCACTGACCTTTGCCACAGCAGATAAGAACATCATTCCTTATTCCCTGGAGGCTGATTTTGTGTATAGCTGTACATAAACATGCATGGTTTGCCTCTGGCCAGCCTACCAGGCAAGGCTGGTTCTCACCTGCGCTCTGTTCTGCCAGGCTCTGTGTCATAGTTGTGATGCAGTCCTGATGTGAAGTACTTGAAGTATTTTCTGTCTTAATTTCTTTTTTTTTTTTCTAAAAAGGACTGTTGTTTGTATTCAGCTGCTTTTGCCCTGGTTACTTTCAGTGCTGGATGCAGCTATGCTCTGTGCTAGGCTAAGGAGATGGGGGACAGCACTGCTGAGCACCCCGCTTCTGTTGGCATCTGGCTCCGCAGCACCAGAGAGGACAACAGCGGAGGTTTGCACTTCCTTCCCTAAATCCCACCCTGACATTTCACATAAGCAAGCTACGAAGACATGCTGCAGCACTTCTCGTGTAGAGCAGCAGATGGCTCTCTTTCCTCAAGTCTTACTGGGAAAATGTTGAGGCTTGCTTAGAAAATGAAGAAGGTGGCCCAGGAAAATCTATCTGTAGTGCTAACCTAAGTCACAGCATTCCCTCAGAGAGCAAGACAATGTGTCTTCTGTTAGGTTACGAAGTTTCATAGAATATAATTAAAAAGTTCTTTGTTTCTGGTTTCCCACATGATTTATCAGTCTTTTTTTTATTAGTATTACAATATACCAGTATTTATTTATGCCCTTTTTTAAGAACCTGACTTTCAACATCTTGTTTTTCAAGACAAACAGAAGAAAGAAGCAGAGAAATACAGCTCGTACTCGCAATATAAGAATCATCTAGTTATTCTTAAATAACTGGAAGTAACATACGCAGAGTTCGGGGAGTAAAGATAGAAATACTCACTTTAAATTTGTCTGAGTCTCCTCATATGCAGTATAGTATACAGCATTTTTATGTTGTAAATGCCTAACCAGAATATTTATGTTTTAGATGGATAATTTACAAAATGGAGAAATAGAAAGTTAAGGTATCAGGTCATTTGGACAAGAAAAGTAGATCTGCATATGCAAAAAATTTCTCAGGTTTCCCACAGGATAGCAAGTTACAGTCAGTCAAAAAGGACAACAGTTATGATGCCTTGAGATATGCAGTCCTGCTACTGTAGACCTGAATACAAAATTGCTACTAAATCATGCATGAGATGATGCTGACCAAATCAGAAATGGTTTATCTGACTCTGGCAGTACAATGTGTTTTCATTTGTCTAGAAATACTCTGTCTGCTGCAAATGCCTCGGGGCTCGCTGTTGCCAAGGAGATTCTTGCCTGGGCCTTTATGTTGGGAGGGGAGACATTCATCATGCCCACTCTTCTTATCATTTCTTAGCAGAGGCACACCATGCAGTTCAATTTTTGGCATTGGCCATGACAGCAGAAAGCTTAGGACTGTCCTTGGTCAGCAGCATTGCTTTCATATCAAAGAAAGGAAGCACATATTGCGTCCTCTACAAAGTACTCATCTGGGTTATGTGGCAGCACTCAACTAGATTCAGGGAAGTGACTTAGGCTTTGTATTACTTAAATTTCAGTGTTGTGATAGCCAGTGGAAGTATAGGTTGGAAATATAGGCAATCTTGGTGTCTAGATTCCCGTTCTTAAACATATTCTTCCTAAAGGAAATGGAACTAGCTATGATGCTGGACATTTCCTATTAAACAGCTGGCCTGTGTTCAGGACACTCATCTGTATGTGGAAGCACAGATTCACATTTCTCCTCTGGCAGCAGCATTTAGTTTTACCTCTGCAGTGAATACTGAACCGGTGGGCTTTGGGGATTCCTCTTTCTTTTTAATGATAGTTGCTTCCTCATCTATAGAAGCCATGAATGTCCTTAAGGTAAAGAAGAGATTCCCCATTAGCACTGCTCCTCAGTCCTGTGGATGAGTTCTGTATTTGCCTGATTGGTGGCTTTAAATGCTTTGCCATGGATATATGGACTTCTAAGAGATGTGCAAGATCCCACTAAGAGCAATTCTTCTGTCAATGGGCTTACAAAAACATATGAATAGCTATAGTGCGTCAGATCAATGGTCCATTTCCCTTAGTATCCTGTCTCTCACAGTAGTAAATA